GTTGGCAGTCTTGTCTCGCATCACTATGGTCTTGTTCCTGCCAGTGGTTTGTTTTGGGTAATTCTGAAATTGAGGTTGGGGGGGTGGGAGGTTGGACAAGTATTAACTATACCCATCTATGTGCATACAATCTATATCTGTGTAAAGTTTCGACTGAAATGCCGGGGGGGATTCAGAACCAGCATCGTTTAACGATCTGGTTGTTCAACAACATATTCTCAGGATTGTGTTTTCTCTCACCGAGTCTTGCTCTCGGCTCTGTACTGTGACTGTGGAGCACAATGTTGTCTTGCCAGCAGGGCGTCGCTGCTTCTAGTTTGCAGCTCCAAACGAAAACGTATACAGAACCGAAGCTCAAACAACTTGGGACCTAGCTTCTGAACAGCACCAATGGACCAATATCAAACAACTGACATGCATCTCAGCCCAAAGAACTCCGAAAAACGGCTCATCTTTTGGGGTCACGACTAGACATGGAAAAGAAGGAAACCAAAAGGTCAAAAGCTTGGCTTTTTGTTGGCAAGTCATTCCGGAAAACCAGCCCCGTGGAACCGGAAACAATAAAGGACCACCCTTCCGGAACCCGGACTTTGAACATGGAAACAGGGAAAACCAAAAGGTTCAAAAGGTCGGTTTGGGGCGATTGACCCTTGGAACCTCGACTGATGGACCAAAAAGGGAAACCAAAGGTCAGATCCAAGGTTTGGACAACTAAGATTCCCCGTTCTTTAGGTTTTTCAGAGACCCTGACGGTCTTTGCCCTGGCGGGGCCAAGTTCATTACGAGGTAAAAGCCACCAAACGTTGGGGTCTAACAAGATTCCCGTGCCATCAAAAGGGAACCATTCAAAAAGGGGTCCAAGCACCTGCAAAGGTGTTCCTGTATTTGAGCAAAAATGTCAAAGTCTTTCAAAGAGGTTTGCACACTGCCACTTGAAAACACACAAATGATATATTGATATCTCACGTCCTCAGCATGCAAGCTGACAGGAATTTGAAAGACTACGTTGGGAGCCCAACGGGCACCCGATGCGAACCCATGTTCCATCAGATCTCCTAGGAAATGGGCATTTTGTGTTTGCCCTTTTAAGAAGGTTCTTTCAGATAGGCAGACCCTGGTCCCCGAGGCAAACCACAAGGAGGAATTTGCGTCGCCGAGCCGCACGTCAAAGTTGATGGTGAGGTGTCGCTGCTCTCGGCAATCCAGACGCGGCGAAAGCATCGCCGAGTCCTGGTATACCCAGCCTGGGCTGTGACGCGAATCATCCCCTCAGATTCAACCAAACAGTCTTCGCGCACCTCGGCTCCTAATTAAAGTTGCCCTGCGCCTACTTTACGTGACCAACCAGAATTGATCAAATAACAGCCTGTGGTCAGTTCGGTCCCTTGAATCTAAGTTCTCTGCAACGAGTAACTCACCAAAGAAATCCCTAAAGAGCCTTCGCGGGCGCTTCGAATAAATCATCCGCACACCTGACTCGCCACACTGAGTGGCCGCAGAGAAGATTTCATGGTTCCGTGGCCAAAGCAACCACAGCATTGATTTGCAGAGTGAAAGCGCCTTGCGAAACACATTGCCCATTCTCAGGGCACATTTACTGTTGTCTTGTGCACACCGTCACTATTGTAACCAACGTCAAATACCGCACTTGAAAATGACTTAACAAACAAAGCGTTGCACAACGGCCAGTATGCATATACCGCTTTTGGAAGCAGGGCAAGACACTGAGACAAAGACTGGTCCATCAACATAGATGCCCCGTTCCAACAATACGAGAATTGGCCAAAAGGGCCTTCTTTAGAGCATGGTACACCTCCCCCACTTCTATGTTGTTGGACCGAGGGTACACAATGTTTCTTTTTGGTCAGAATGGTGCGCAGTACTGCCGTGTAACGTTGCTCATCCCCAAAGCAGGAGACACAAGCCTAAGCCCCACGGCAAGCTTGACAACTCCAGCAAAACCAAAAACATGGCTTTGGCATTAACTTGCTGGTGCGATAGGTGGGGAATGTGACCTTTCAGGTGTTGGGAATGAACCGGAAGGGCTTATTCCCTTGAAGCCACGAGGAATGGTTTACAGGGGTCGTTCCATTTCTCATTCCCTACTAAGCCTTCTAACTTACAGAAACACGACGACACGACCTGCGGTCTGCCGAAGGCGCTCAGGAACTCATCGAAGTCCTTGAGCGATGTATGGGCGGGCTAGACAAACTCAACGAAACACATCGAGCTCAGGCCGTGTTAGAGCAAAAGCGGCGATCTTAAAGAAGGCACCTTGATGTTGGCACACAGAATTGTGAGTGATTCCCGACAGGCGGCTGAAGATCGCTCCTTTCACCGCTCCAGCTTCAAACAAGTCGTTCACCAGCGTTTGAGTCTACCTTGAGGTAGTCTTCAAAAACGGTTCCCCGGTACCATTGAATTGGGGGGGGGGTCCGGGGCCCTTGGAGCTCTTCTAGCGCGCAAGCCCCAAGCCCCAAGCCAAGCGCTTGACTCTCGCCCACCAGGTTCTCGTTCGAACATATGACCCGCTGAGACTGTCATCATGGGGTTTTACACTACCCCCCCCAACACTCCCCCCCCCACTGAAATAGGCTGTGAGATTCGCATTTTGGACCAATCCAGTCTTGCAGGCAAGCTGCGAGAAATAAGGCTTATTTGAGGTTTGGGGTCCGCCTCACTGGTCGGCCTGCAACTCAAGCCCAAATCCAAACCCGATAAATAGTGTTAGAGCTCAGACAAACTGAATAGTTTGCGACGCACCGATCCGATTTCGACCAGTCCATTTGGTGGCTTCCGGGGTTTGTTTTTTGCTCACGGGGCAGCCAAATCCTTATTTAGATATTTAGAGCTTATCTTGACCTTATTTTTTCAACTCCGCGTCCTCACGGGGACAGCCAAATCCTTATTTAGAGCTTACGAGTCTGCCAAATCCTTATTTAGAGCTTATTTAGAGCTTATTTTGACCTTATTCTTCAACTCCGCGTCTGCAAAATCCTTATTTAGAGCTTATTTTGATCTTATTTTTTCAACTCCGCGTCTGCCAAATCCTTATTTAGAGCTTATTTAGAGCTTATTTTGACCTTATTTTTCAACTCCGCGTCTGCCAAATCCTTATTTAGTGCTTATTTAGAGCTTATTTTGACCTTGTTTTTCAACTCCGCGTCTGCCAAATCCTTATTTAGAGCTTATTTAGAGCTTATTTTAACTCCGCGTCTGCCAAATCCTTATTTAGAGCCTATTTTGAGCTTATTTTGACCTTATTTTTCAACTCCGCGTCTGCCAAATCCTTTTTTTTAGAACTTTTTTAAAAGCTTATATTGACCTTATTTTTCAACTCCGCGTTCACTTGGCAGCTTCCGGGTGGTTTGCTCCACGCCATAGAGCAACCTTTGTAGCCTGCCACCTTGCCTGGCAGCCATCAGAAGCCAAGAAAATGGCAATCACAGCCTGTGAGGTTCGAAGAAACTGTGTTCTGACATCACTGGCCACCACAGACATGGCACTAATCAGCTGCGCTAGATTCAGAAAAATAGACTTCATCAGGTCGGCTTGCTCAAAAAAACTGTGCAACACAGCTGTTGCCAAACAACCCTTATTTAGGGTCTATTTGTTTTTTCACCACTTGGGCCCCCGAAAATAAGGCTTGATTAAGCCTTGTTTTGTATGTATTGGAAATAAGGCCTAAATAAGCCTTATTCGTGGGCTATTTCGACACTGAGCATGTTCAATTTTCTTGTCCCAGTGGGGGGGGGAGTGTTGGGGGGGGTAGTGTAAAACCCCATGATGTCAGTGAACCACTTCTGTAAACTGGCCTCATGATTTTACCATGATCAAAGGCACCCCGTACGTGATGGGTTAAAGGGAAACAACCCCATTTGAGCTGGAAAAAAAAACCCGCATTAAAACTCTTATCCAAGGATGTTTTCATTGCAAATCCAAGCGGCGGTCTTCATAAGAGTGAGGTCCCCCAAAAACATGCCCCTACAAGTGTATGAGGTCTCAGGTGTGTACACCGCTGCAAATTGTTGCTGGGTGCTGCTGCTGGCTGCTGCTGGCTGCTGCTGCGGCTGCTGCTGCTGCGGCTGCTGCTGCTGGCTGCTGCTGCTGCTGCTGCTGGCTGCTGGCTGCTGCTGGCTGCTGCTGCTGCTGCTGCTGGCTGCTGGCTGCTGCTGGCTGCTGCTGCTGCTGCTGGCTGCTGCGTCTGCTGCTGGCTGCTGCCGCTGCGGCTGGCTGCTGCTGCTGCTGCTGCTGGCTGCTGCTGCAACTCATTGCTGGGATCTGCAAACAAAGACAATGCAAACTACAGAAATGGGCCACTCCTGATCCAAGGCATCTACGACTTGCGCGCGACTTGCGCGCGACTTGCGCGAAAATTTAGCAATCTTCCGGATTCTTTCGACCATGCGGATGATGATGATGATGATGATGATGATGATGATGATGAATCATCACTGCGTCACTTGCGCTTCACTTGCGCTTTACTTGCGCGGCCCCAAGTTTGACTTGCGCGGCCGCTCCTGCAACACACTCCTGCCATTCAAATTACAAGCGGCGGTGCAGCTAATTTGATAGGTCCAAAAGACCTGGGATCATTCCTGACATTGACACATACAACGTTTTTTTTTTTTGGTTCCCCCTTTGTTTTCCGACTCATTTGACTTTGATAACCCCTAGAAACAGTCAAATAATGACCCCAGGTATATGCCATCAACAATACCTCGCGCGAACCTTAAATTGTAGCATGCAGGTGGGCACAACAGCATACACCAGCACCCTGCACCAATTGGCGCGTGGTTTCCAACTCATGCGAAGTGAACTTTGCTCATCCATACGACCAAGCAGGAAGGTCACAACCCTGAATGGCCCGTACAACTCACTCGGCATGGGGCCCTCCAAAATCCAAAAATGCTTCAGGGGCTGGGTTGGTGTCCCCGCTAGCTTCACCGAGGGCTGTGAGAGCAAGTACTTCCTCACTGCAAGAGGGGTCACTGGATCCCCAAATCAAAAGTTACAATTTACTTGTGGTGTCCATGGAAATTCGGGTTCATGGCTCCCAAACCGTCCCAAACCCCGCGCCGCCACCTTTGACTCGTTTCGCTCACTCCGAGCGGCGATGGAACTCTTGGGCCCGAAGTCCGCCAGGATATTGTCCACGTCACTGGGCTCCCATTCCCCGAGGGAGTGGTCGCAGAGCGACAGCAGCAGCTCCCTGAGTCCGATCGCTCCGGCCGAAAACCGGACATGACCCAGTCCATGATCCCGAGACCCAGTCCAAGAACCATGAAAAGGAAGCCACACACCTGAAGCCCGCATACCAAGAATGTACCCTCCACCCACCAGCCACCACCCACCTCTCGCAGGGATGCCTCGAAATCAGGTCGGGATCTGGAAGGATAGACTCCTTCCAGCACTCTCCGACTGCCCAGTCGGACGGTACTTGGAGCTTGCCAGAAAATGACCACCGTATTTCGGGGGGGGGGGGGGTGCTGGGGAAAAACAAAGCCGTGCTGTTTAGCGCGTAGACAAATAAAAGGCCCTGAAAAGAGAAGCAGGAAACCGAATCGACCAAATCTCGAGCTCACGTGTGGCAATAACCTGGAAGAATTGGATAGGAAAGTGTGTCATTTCAAAAAAAAACTCAAAAGGAACACTTTTGGAGGAAACAACCTCAATAAGTCCAACAAGTTTATCAATCAGACGCTGCAACACCTCCAAACTTTCAGTTTGCCATAGAGGTGTTCGCATTGCTTGGATGTTCAGCCTGCAGTCAGCTCTAACGATGGTAGGTCAAACCACAGGGACAGACCCATGCAACAACTCAACTTGTTTGCTGGTTGAACATCGGAACTAAGAAAAAACAAGAGTTTCAAGTAGCCAACCAGGCGAATTCGGTCTGGCAATGCCAACATCAACACTCAAATGCATGATTCCGCCAACTCGTAACCCTTCCCTTGTTTCTTCACCAAGAACGTCTTATGAATGACAGTTGTGCGAACCGCGAACCTCGAAGCAACTCTCAAACCAGTCCCATACTGCAGTGAAAAGGGTGCAAGTTAGCACGCGCACAATGGCACTCCGCAATATTGAGAAGTTTCTCAATGAAGGGAGGAAGATTGACAGGCAATCATAGCTTGCTCTTGTTCGCCCTAATGTTGACGTCTGCTGCAATGGTGATATCATTGAAAGATCTCCCCTCTGCAACAAGTTTAAGTTCGTAGGGGTCCAATGGAACATCCACTGCTTCCCAAAGAGATTTGAAGTCCTAAGATTCAACCAAATATCCATTAAAGCTAAATGGACTCCAATAAATGGGGCCCGATCGCTTGCAAAGGACCATCATGCACATAGCATCCGCAAGGCCGCCTGGTTTGGATGTGTTGTTGGGTAGTGAAACGGGGGGGTTTCCCATTCAGTTCCAAATCCACCAAACCAAACCACCATCTCGGGAATCCGAATAAGGAAGGAAGGAAGGAAGGAAGGAAGGAAGGAAGGAAGGAAGGAAGGAAGGAAGGAAGGAAGGAAGGAAGGAAGGAAGGAAGGAAGGAAGGAAGGGAAGGAAGAAAACCAAATCAGTCCCCCACAACTGGCGGTAGAAGTCTCCAAGAGTCAACTCAAAGGCGCCATCGACGGGCGATATATATTCTTTCGCGCCTCAGGCCGTCCGCGCTCAGCCGTCCGTCCCCGCAATTCTCGTGGTACGCGTCGCTGATCAGCTTCATGGCTGGAAAGTGTCGGGGGAAAAACTGAGAAAGCTGCGGGCTCGACCCAGCAGTCGAGTGCTGAGCGAACGTGTGAGCTTGGGAAATATGGTTTCGCTCCGGAAAGCAACTTTTAAATGAAGTCCGGAAACTGGGTGGGACTGAGCAAGTGCGCTTCTAGGCATGAGCGGCGCAATGAGAGCTGGTGGTGGTTTGAACGTCTGAAACCCATACCGAAAGGATCATGACCACATGACAACGCCGTCAATTTAAGCAAGTCATGTGACATGTGACATATACATGACTCATACCTGCTGCTATTTGAGGCAAAAGCGGCGTGGCGTTCGTTCGTCGGTGCCGGCATCAACCGCCCGGGCTTGGCTTTCGAACATGGGCCAAGAGGTGAATTTTGTTGGCAGGAAATGGAGGCCTGTGATACCAACATTCTAGGGGTTGATTCCCCATTATTTTCAAACCAGCTGCTTTCCCAGGATTTTGGTGGCTTTCTAGAAAGAATGGGGAAGCTACCCTTAGAAACATGGGATTTTCATGGAACCTTATCACAGAAAGGAAGTTCACTGGCAATCACAGAACATGCTGCCAGAATGACATCAAAGGACATGCTGCCAGAATGACATCACAGAACATGCTGCCAGAATGACGTCACAGGACATGCTGCCAGAATGACACAGAAAATGCGCCCTGAATGCAATGCTTCCGAGCCCTTTGATGGGTTGAATCATCCAGCGAGTCGAGGCACACAAAACAAAAATCAGGCCATGGAAGGAAAGCCCACAGAGAAACGTGCGGAGGTATATCCCAACCCCAAACTTCCAAAAGCGCATCGCTGGGGGCACATTGATGCTCCTTAAAGGAAACTGCAAAGCGCCTTTGTGGCCCAAAACACACCCCTGTCCAAAGACATAAGGCCAGTTGCCCCACTGACCCCGGTAGAACAAGGGAGCCCTTGTTTAGGGTTGACGAGTTGTAGCCGGGCACCTATCAAACAGAAAGGCAAAGGTGGCCCTCAAATAGCCATCCTCATGCAGAGCGAAAAATCCGAAATCCCCAGTCAAGTAACTCACCTGTTTTCAGCGCTGGCCTTCTTGCCTTATTGATATCTGGACATAATGTAAATGGCAAACTCGCTCCAAGTATGATCGTCTTTTGATCATGCAATTAGCTCTGTACACAAGTGCTCCACAACCCCATTATTATTGACATGTCTCAGCACCGTGCGTATGCAGCGCATGGCCCCACGGACCAACGCCTGACCAATGCATCATCTGAAAGAGGTGTGACACGTTCTGGATCTAGGAAGCGCATGTCATTTAAGAGGCCGGATCCCCTTATTTTGTTCGACAGAACGAAGAGCTAACTACTCCAAGCAAGGAGTTCTCTGAAACTATGACTATGACATGCTACATCCGTTGGGACACCTTGTCCCGGAACAAGGCACGCCGGTTCATCAATGATTGGCGCTCCATATCCGGAGGGCAACATGGGTGATAAACCCTCTTTCCGAGTTACTATAGTTCCTTAGTTTCAAAACAGCCAGGGGGAACATAACAAAGGGGACGTAAGCAACTAACTGAGATTTGCATGGGAACGCCAACAGACCACCTTAAGCAAATCAAAGTGATGTGAAAACACCCCGCACTTCTGCCGGACTGGCCTCTGACCATCGATGCCAAAATCCTCATGAATTTGTCGTGACAACACGTGTCAACGAGTTTTCGGTGAAGGCGCGGGTACCATGGTTCAACTCACATGCTGAGTGGACGAGTCCAAACTTTGTGTTCACCACTAGAATGGTGCTCCCAAAAAATATGAGACCAAAAACTCAGGGAGTGAGCCAACAAGCTACATCGAATTGCCATAATCAGCAAAGAGAGAACCCACATCCTGAAAGGACCCAGAAATAACAAGTTTCCCTTTTGGAACCTTGACAAAGCATGGACAAAATCGGGGGACCCAAGGGTTAAAAAGCCGATTCGCTTTGTGCAAGGGAGTTGAATTACTAAAAGCACTGTGGAAGCAAGGGTTCCCTTGGCGAGTCGTAATTATGTGAGCTCAATCTCCCCAGCGGAACTCGTGGGGTCTGAAGACAATGACCCCCAGAATTGCGCGACAAGGTTCAAAGTCTGCAAGTTTGCAAGCCCCGATGCGCAAGCAAAACTGCAATCCCTTGCAACAGCTCACCACCTTTCCGCGCCGGTCGATCGGCGGCGTCAGCCCCGCCTAATGCCACAGGCCATGGCTTGTTTGCTCGCATGACTATGCGATCACTGTGTTCCCCTTTCTACAAACGACCCTCACACTACCCAACCAACAAAATGGATATTGCCCCAACGTGGAGTGATGTTTCCCATTTCGATAGGTTTAGTGGTGGGCAGGATTCCTTTTGTTTCAAGGGAACACCAAAGGCCATACCCCACGAGACAATCCCATGCCAAGGAATTTCCAGGCATCCCAACAAAAGGTGCGGCCCCTGAGCGTGGAAAAAACCCTTCCCAGGCAGGTGATTGGTTGCAATATGAGCAAAAACAGGCCCAAATTCGGCCTTTCCCGAAAGCCGAGTTGCGTCAAGCGGCCACCCGGTTTTCCCTGGGTTAAATAATTGCATCGCCCGTAAACTGGCCACAGGCCGACCAAGTCCGGCTGCGCACGCCAATCTTAAGGCCGCGTTGGCTTCTGCTGGGCGACATGCCAATCGCTGTTCACCAAATCAAACCCAAATTAATTGATATGCATCACTGCTTGAGACCCACCATGTACAAATAAAGGAAACCAGAAGATGCATTCGTGTTCTGTTCAATAATCTCAACTTGGCTAAGGCCGCCTGCAACAAATTGCCTTTTGCTGCTTGAAATGGATAATGATGAAAATCCGACTGGGACTTTAAGGCTCTACAGGTGAGAAAAGACTGGCAATACCAAAACCGGAAATCTGAATATGTCTGATTCCGGGCATGTTCTTGGTGAACCTTTGACAAATAAAAGCTGATCCAACGCAGCCGCGACCGGTTCGAGCCAAACTGGAGGGCAAACGCTCGTGTTACCCTTTGTTGCAAGGTTCCCGAATTTTCCATTGAAGCATCACCCCCACCAAGGGTCGGCCAGACGGGTGACGTGAATATGCACAAATCAGGGAAATCTGGGAACCCTGGATTGAAATGAAACCCAACCAAAACTCTTTGTACTTTGTAGGGCCTCGATTTCGGGAAAGGATCCCCTCGGGCTCTATCTGTCAAATTGAAACAGCTGGTGAAGGTGCGATTGAACTTGGCCAAAATGTATACTTTAAGGGACCTTGGACCGTGAGTAACCTCTTTGAAACCTTGACGAGGGGCCAAAGGGCGCACATCAAGCACTTCGGCTGCACAGAACAAAGAAATATTGAAATGAGAAATGTCAAAAGACACGGATCAACACTCGGTTGCTTTCTGCTCCCCTGCTAGCAGTTTATCTTTTATTGGTTTAATGGAAAACCCATTAGTTGGCAAAGAAGTTAAAGTCCTAACATCCAAGCAAAATGCACCACAGAATACCTACACTGGAGCTTCGGTGAATGAGAAAGACTTCAGGGCCCGGACAGTTTGAGATTTTATCCAAGGCCCGGTTCGAAAGCCACGGCCAGGCACTCCAAAAAAAACATGCGGCACACTGGACCAGACCCTTCAGAAGCTGCAAGGTCTGTGCGCGTTTGGAAGGGCATGGACAGTTGTGACAACGCCCCTCTTCGGCTTCAGATTCAGTTCACAAAAGCCGAAAAGGGTACCAAGTGGACTGTGTCAAAGGCGACCCCTTTTTTGGATTTTGGCCTTCCTTCTGGTTCCCTGTGCAGACCTAAGACAAGCAGCCACGCAAAAACACACCAAAAAGGTGACACCGAAAGCAAACAGCTCGCAGCGTGAGACATGAATACTATTGAATGCCAAGAAGGGTTCAGCGCCGACATGCGCCGACCCAAAGGTACAGCTCGCAAAACCCAATGGAACCCACGCAAGCCCAGTTTCCTCGCGCGGGACCATTTGTGGGCCCCGTGGCTGGCTTGCCATGAAGCATTGATGGGGCGCTACCCCGGGCATTGCGCGCTTCGCCCCCCACCCCTTCCATTGAGCTTGCTTTGCTTCGTCCAAATTTACCGGCTCTGGGATCTTGGGAAACGCTCGGCACGCTCGTCCCAGGAACTGTTTGATGGTAAAAACCGACCGCAGTGGCAGCCCTCAAACTAGGAATTGATATCACATGACTGGCTTCATTTGTTTGCAACCCTTGCAACAAGTGAAAAGAATCAAACAGCCAAAAACAGCATCCGTTGCCGGAAGGCGCAACCAATTTTTTACTTTCAACAACAAATGACAAAGGCAATGAAACAAACCGCACTCGTGCGAACATGGAAGTGGACCATCGGGGGCTGCCCACTAGGCAAGCAGCCAACTTCTATGACTCGAGGGGAACCAACTTGACGTCACTAGGGAAAGGAAAGGGCGTGTAAAGTGGAGAATCAGGACGTCATGGTTGGTGCATATTTGCTGTTCGGGCACCTTCTAAATGGCGGGTTTCACGCTGGTTTCACGATACAACCCCCCAAAAAAGGGTGCCCTCAAGCACAACGCGGCTTTTGGTGAGGGTACCTTGTTATTGGTTTAACGGGGAAGCAACCATGGAAACCGAGCCGCGCGCTGCCCCGGGTGCCAAGAACCACCCTTTGACCCGAACTCCACGCGCTCCTCCTCCTCGGATTGCAGCTTGGCAAACAGCAAGCCCCGCTCCTCGCGGACGCGCGAAAGGTGAGGTGGTTTCTCAAAAGCGATCGGAAATTCTCCGCCCCAAAAATGGGACCCCAAAGCATTGGACCCCAAAGCATTGGACCCCAAAGCATTGGACCCCACAGAATTGGACCCCAAAGAATTGGACCCACAAATTGTACCTCCTGACGCCTGACTTGTACTGACTGACTACTTGGGGAGAAGGCTGCCCCAAGGTCTGGCATAGGGTTGTTCAACATCGGGGATCCCCGCAACCTAATCGGGACTTTGAAGTGGAACACCACAAAGGACACCACTACCATGCACA